TGTTACATTCTGTGCATGTGCCTGTTGATATCATCCATATCTTGTACCCTCTGTTGAGGGTAACATTGAGGGAGGAGCTGTGTGCGGTGTGTCATTGGAGATTGGAGCCAACACAAAGGGAAAGGTTAGTGTGTGTATGAGGTCACCAGAGGGCAAGGTTACACAAGAGTTAGAAAAGCTGAGGACACTAAAGAGGGTGGCAATCAGCTGGAATACAGGAAAATGGACACTGAAATGCTTGATACATTGACAAGGCTGCCAGAGATCCTATGGTTACTGTCAAGGAACAAGGAAAAGTCAGGCACCAACTTGGCATGGAACTCCATGCGGAGCATTGGATGCGTCCCTTCCAAGATGAAAGTGGTGACCAAATCCATGAGAACATTTTTAACCCAGCCATGAGGCTGTCAACTTCCACTGCAGCACACGGAGAAGGCACTCAGTGCCCCAGAGGAAGTTCAGACCCTGGCTTCTTCCTCCTGATCCCTGATCTTCCTCCTCAGCTACTTGTTACTTGGTGGAAAGTGTTTTACCTTCACGATGGCAAAGTAATGCGACAGGAGCATGAAATATGAGACCATAAAATGCAAGTGCAGGAGTAGGCCATTTGGCCCATTGAGGTCTGCTTCACTTTTCAATGAGATCATGGCAGATCTGATAATCCTCAACTCCACCTTCCTGCCTTATCTCTATAACCCTTGATTGATTGACTGACTAAAAATCGATCATTCTCAGCCTTGAATTTACTTAAAACTGCAGTGTTGAAGGTACTCTCTGGTGAAGAATTCCACAGATTCACTCCCCTCTAAGAGAAGAAATTACTCCTAATCTCTGTTCTCACTGGGTGACCCCTTAATCTATGCCCCCAGTCCGAGACTCTCCAACAAAGATAGACAACCTGTCTGTAGCTACCCTGTCAAGTCCCTCAGAATCATTTATGTTCTAATAAGATCACCTTTCATTCTTCAGACTCCAGTGAGTACATGCAAACCTACTCAATCGCTCTTCATAAAATATCCTTCCATACCTGGGATTAGCCTAGTGAACCTTCTCTTGGCCAACTCCAATGCCAATATATCTTTCCTTAGAGAAAGGGACCAAAACTGTTCATAATATTTCAGCTGTGGTCTGACTCGCGCCTTGTATAGCTTTAGCAAGACTTCCCTAGTCTTTTACTCTATTCCCTTTGAAATAAATGTCAACAGTACCTTCCCTATTACGGACTGAACCTATATGCTAGCTTTTTGGGTATTATGCATAAGGAATCGCAAGTCCCTCTCTGCTGCAGTTTTTTGCAATTTTTGTCTTAGAATCCCTACAGTGTAGAAGCAGGCCAGTCAACCCATTGAGTCCACACCGACCCACTGAAGAGCATCCCACCCAGATCCACCCTCCCCTATCCTATCCCTGTAACCCTGCATTTCCCACGGCTAATCCACCTAACCTGAACACCTTTGGACTGTGGGAGGAAACCAGGGCACCCGGAGGAAACCCGCACAGACACAGAGAAAACATGCAAACTCCACATAGTCGCCCAAGGGTGGAACTGAACGTGGGTCCCTGGTGCTAACCACTAAGCCAGCGTGCCACCCACTCATCGCTTGTTTATCCATTTAAATAACATTCAGCTCCTCTATTCTTCCTGAAAAAGTGCTGAACCTTACATTCTCCCATATTATATTCCATCTGGCAACTTTTTGCCCGCTCAATTAACCTGCCTATATCTCTCTGCAGACTTTGTGTAATCCTTCCCAACTATACTGGAGTCATCTGCAAACTTGGCGATAATACATTCAATTCCCTCATCCAAGTCACTAATGTGTATTGTAAACAATTGTGGCACTCCACCAGTTACAGGTTGCCATCCTGAAAATAACTCCCTAAATTTCTGTCCTCTACTCGCTAGCCAATCCACTACCCATGCTAATGTAATTTCATCATAATATCATGGTCTCTAATCTTCTTGAGTAGTGAAGGATTGAGCAACAATCCCTATATTCTGAAATGCTGGACCAAAATCCTGGACTTCGCAAAACTGGACCTAAGAATCCAAATTTTAACCCAGGCATTATGGAACCTTTACAGATACCAAGACATTCAACTTAAATTAATTTTCATTCGCAAAAATACTGGATATTCCACTTAATCAAAATACATTTTCACCTACTCTAAACTATCAGGAAGCCAATTCACCACAAAGGGTACGACAGAAACATAATGGATAACACAAATTTGAGAGGTGATAATGGAGAGAGAGAAAGAGCCATCCACGGCAGCTATCTCCAGAAGAGGAATCCCAGACAGCTGCTCTCCCCGAGAACAATCTGCACAGCTATCTCCCTGAAACCTACCGACACAGGGCTAGTAGGAACTGCAGATGCTGGAAAATTTGAGATAACAAGGTGTAGAGCTGGATGAACACAGCAGGCCATGCAGCATCAGAGGAGCAGGAAGGCTGACGTTTCGGGCCTAGACGCTTCATCAGAAAATCACAGGGCTGTTACGTATTTGGGGAACCAATGGCAACTGACCACGACTGGCAGATCTGACGACCGACGACCTCCGAAAACCACCGACATAACCAACAAGGCCTCAGACACATCCTGAGGTGAAAACCGGCTCAAAAAAACCACCACAAAAAGTAAGAAAGCCCAAGTTCTCAAACCAGACTGAAGGCCTACACTGACCAAAGTCATCAGCAATTCACCGGCTACAGCAAGTGGATACAGCCAGCTGTATTTCAAAATCGTGTTTATCCCGACTGGTGAGCCTATTTCCTCAAGACCCAAAGTATCCAACCTAGCTAGCAGGGAGGGCAAGGTGGGTCGGTGGCAGTGCAGGGTCTGTGTTCGAAACTACTGTTTAGTTTCTAATCGGAATTAGCCTGTGTTAAGTTAATAACTGATAATGTCAGTTTCACTGTTTTGAATTTGCCTTTTTATCTCTTGTATTTTTTTCACCTTTGTGTTATTTCCCTTTTTATTACTTTTGCCTTTTTATTTCTCGTGATATACTCACCTTTGCATTTATTAAATACAGAGATTCTTTGCCCTGAAACACCCATCTACTGCCTTCTTCACTTCACATTGCTAAAATTAAAGTCCAGTGTCAGAACCAGGGAGCTGGGGATGATTCAAACCACATAAAAATCAGCAGATTACTGATCGCAAACCAGAATCCCTACAGCAGCCTATAGATGCGGCACCTTATCAAACATACTTTTTGGAAAGGAAAAATATTGCATTTACTGGCTTCCCTTTATCTACCCTGCTTGTTACTGCCTGAAAGAATTGTCTTAAATGTTGCCAGGTTCAATTTCCACTCTATGAAGCCATGCTGACTCTGCTTAGTTATATTATCTGTTTCTAATTGGCCTATTATTGCATTCTTGAGAATAGACTGTACTATTTTCCCAATGACAGATGTTAAGCTGACTGGTGTACACTTACCTGTTTTTTTATCAACTTCCCTTTTTTGAATCAGCGTGTTAACATTGGCAGTTTTCCAATCCTCTGGGACTTTTTCTGAAAAATAAAACTGATTCTTTTTGGATTCTAATCTTTTTGAAAGACTATTATCTGTGCATCCACCATCTCTGTAGTGACTTGCTTTAAAAAGAATGGAAACATGCACTGGTGACTACTGCATGACTCTGGACAGCATTGCAGGAAGCAGAATCCTTGCTTCAGCACCCCAATGGTTTCTTCAATGATGTCTCACATGGACATCTGTCTTTCGTTGTGTGCACGTTGCCCATATGTCCTTGAGTAGGGAACCAAGTGGTCAGTGGAAAGTTCTATCTCCCAATAGCCAGTCTCTGTTTTGGCATGTTGACTCAAGTATTGAACTGAGTGCAGAATGAAAACATCATGACTGCTTCAGGGATACCAGATACTTACCTTCAGTAACAGCTGATCAGGGGTCATTCAGAGAGCGAAACCCTTTGTGGTATATAACTGCATAACTTGTGGCATCCACAAAGAGACATATGTACAGTCAATAGCCCACTGTATCACGAAAAAAAGACACCTATTGGCCCAATTCTCTTTCTGGGAAGAGAGGGTATGATATATTCCTCTCTCCTGACATGAGGAGCATCAATCACCTTCTTTATATAACAATGGGTGGTGAACTGCAAAGTGTTAGATATGTTAGTTCCTCTATCCTGGAAATTTTCTGAGAAGCCCATGGTAACGATCACCTTAAAATTATGTGTAATGCATTCCTTGCATTGTTGCTGTAGATCTGGCAAAATTTTAATAAGCATTCCTCATGCATCATGCACAGTTCCTCATTGAAACTGAGGCAAAAGAACGGGGTTACCTAAAGAAACTGTACAAATAGGACATCCTACTGAGACAACATCACCCCCTCCACTTCCTCCATCTTCAAGGAACTTGTCCTACACTGGGTCGCCTCGACTGAGTCTCCCTCTCATGCTGCAGGTCAAGGGGACTGGAAACTCCCCATGACAATAAGTGAGAGAACCATTGTAGTAAGAACTAAGGCTTTTACCACATATCACACCCATGCCCTGTAAATTCCACCAATATCTGATCACAGTACACGCTATCGAACACTTCCACTGACTCAGCAGGAGCTCACAAAAATCAAACCTGAAAGTAGGTGGTGAACATTTTGACTAAAGTGGGTGGGGAGAATGAAAGGGTTTGGGGTCTTACTACCTTTATATGTGTCCAGCCAGACAGATTAGGAAAGAGCATTGGTCCAAGCAGCCAGATCTAAAATGGCCCCATTGAAGTCAAATAACATGCTAACCATTGTGAAGCTCTGCTACACTGCATTGATACACACTCCTAACACCTACACTAACACCCTCACTGTGCTCACAACAGCATCTCTCGCACTGAAAAAACAGATGCTATAGAATTTCTAACATCTGATCAATTAATGGATGAGATCAAATAATCTACCCATTAGGTTCAACTTTTATTCTCACAGGTTGCTTGTATCCACAAATTAAAAATCACCAAGTAATAGCCTTTGGAAACTTCATTTAATCCATATAAAGTGATGAGATAAAAGCCCAAATACATTATAAAAACCAAAAGAACTGCGGATGCTGTAAATCAGGAACAAAAACAGAAGTTGCTGGAAAAGCTCAGCAGGTCTGGCAGCATCTGTGAATTAAAAATCAGAGTTAATGTTTCAGGTCTGGTGACCCTTCTTCAGAACATTAGACAGGCAAATCCAGCCATTGCCAAACTCAGTGTAAGCACACTCTGGATATGACTAAATCTTTAGCAAATTCTAATCAGTTTATTACACATTAATACCATTATAGAACAGTGAATCTTCTTTGTCAGAATTATTCTCACTCTTTATCCCATACATTTCAATATATATTCAGACAGTTCCACTACAGGCTTGGTTATGGCATGATATTAAATTATTCTTTCCCAAGTACTTCTCTAATGTAGAGAATAAATTACAAGCTTACTTGGATGCATAGTTCTGAGAGCCAGACTAAAAGAAAACATGCATTTCAAAATGCAAATTAAATCTTATGTAATCCAAAATATGTGTTAAACTGATCAAAGCTTACAAATTTAGGATCTGAGACATTGACATATATGTGATCATTTTGTTTCAAGTTAAAAATTCCTGCTTGAAAGCTACTTCTTGTCCATTGTGCACGATTCTCGGGACAACTGTTGCCATTGCTGTTTACCATGAGTTGAATATCTTTAGGATAGAGCTTAGTTCGTTTAAACACAGTATGTTCCAGAGAAATGTCCGATGTACACTCCTGCCCACGGAAGAACACTTTAGAGTAAATTAAGTAGTTTCCAGCTTCATTGATAACCAATGCTCCTGCATTGTAGCTTACTCCTTTGGTCAAGGCAAGACCCTTCTCAGCATCCCACACGAGTGTATTGGAATTCCTAATGACGTTCATTCCTAAAAAACAATCATTGCAAAGAAGTCATTACAAATGAGTAGGCTTGCTGAAAAGGTCACCCGTGGATTGTTGAACAAAATTTAACATATGCTACATAATTGTACTTACGCACATTTGAGAAAAAGAATCCCAATGCAGGCTTATCACATCAAAATGTTTGTCATCTTCCTTCAGCATTGAAATTTTTTGTTTTGTGAACATTTTTTTGTCTATTTGAACATGACCTCTAGATAGCTTTAATTTAACAATGCCCCAGGCACTCGCAAAAGACAAGTTCATTCTTTTGAAGTGTTGTATCTGTGACTATAAAGGCCAACGTGGCAGCCATCTTGTACCCTAAAAGTTCCACAAGCAATTGTTTCTTCTCAGTGTCATTGACCAATGGAGGGATACTGGCCCGACACTGGAAGAACACTCCGGACAAATAGGGCTCATAGCCACGCCGGATGGAATCTCATGCCCTCCACCCTGGCGAGTTTGGTGGACACGAACATCTTCCCAACTTTGTTCCAATTAAGTCTCTGGTGGGAAAGGTCCATGGGTAGCTGATATTGACCCAGCAGCGGGCAGGAGTCTGGTCATGTTGCCAGCACGATAAGCAAATGTGGGCATGCTTGATTGTGAGTTTCTTGAGTTTGCTGGGAATCCCTCCTTGAAAGGCAAGCACCGCGCTCCTGTACCCGACCACCGGGGGTGTTATTGATCTTGGGAGTAGGCCCACCACTAGCCTGTTCAGTACCTGAATGGCACAGGGGCCAAAGAGCAGGAGACACTGGGATCCCACTAATTGTCCAGTCAGCTACCAAGACCAGCATCGGTCCCTCCAAAATTTTGTCCTCCCCTCCGATTTAGGATCAGTCTCCGGGCCATAAAGTTTCATAAATTGATACGTTCATGGTCAGAGGGTGTGTCTGCTATCGAATTTAGCATGGGAAGTCTGAAGCCATTCTGATCAGAAGAAACTGCAGCACGCACTTGCAGGTAAGGGAAAGGGAGCTTCTGTCTTGAAGTAACCTCCCATAATTTTTTTTTCATATAAAAGAAAAAGCACTCTATAGGTGTGGCCAGGTAGTTGATGAAGGCCTCAAAGCCTACTTGGAGCATTGGACTTCCACTCTGCGACTGACAAGTTCCAACAGATGATTGATTTGAATAGGCCATTTACACACTTTAATTGACTATTCGCTGCTTGCCAGGTAGCTCCTCCAGCACCAATTCCACCTCCAGGGAAATGGTTTGGGAACAAGATGGCACTGGGAAACCGACATGCTGACTGGCATTGCAAATTTCTGGGCCCTCCTGAACCAGCAATCACACTTACTTGTGGCTAAAAATCCTGCCTATTGCTTACCTCTGTGTTATTTCTTTAACATGCGTTCTTTCATTTGGACATCCTGTTTTTATTTACTGTCAATCTTCTTTTTTATTGCCTTAACGGCTCATTGCATTTCCCGTTTCTCCCCCACACCCACCTGCACCAACCCTGCCTCACACCCTCACGATAATCACTAACCTGTAACATGTGCAACAACTTCAGTTGATTTACTGATCTCTGCAGATCCTGGTGGAGAAACATAAGAATCAAACATCAGTAAACAGCTTGGTTCTAATCAGATATCTTTTGCTTAGTTATTTAACCTGATTGAATCGCAAGATCGTAGATTGATATAAAACCAAGAGCAGCCATCTGGCCCAATTCAATGGCTAACTTTAAAATGAACCTCACTCAAGCATTTGATGCAAAAAGGAGTGAATTCAAAATTGTTGCTTTTCAGACAACAGTCCACCCCGAAATGTTGCAAAGTTCACATGTTTAGAGTTTGGCCACCCCGTATCTTTACATTGTCTCTACTCAGTGTCACCCAATATAATTATTTTACATTATCTGTTGATTTCTGGTTCCTTAAGAATGCTGACTCATTCTCAACAACTTACTGTAAGGTTGACTGGAATCCTTCCACGTGTAATTTGGTCTCAAGTAACTCATGGACATGGCATGTTCAACATCATCAACACACACAGAATGGAAATATTTTGTATTCAAATTAACCCTTTTCTATACTCACCGATAATCTTTTCTTGTTGACCTTCACTATCCTGATCCTGATCAAAAAATAGGAAAGAAAAACAATATTTTGTTTTCAGAACAATCTGACCTCAAGTAATTGAAAACATTCAGTCAGGCGTATGAATGAGGAAGTGCATACCTGTTTTAGTTTGTTGAGTTTCTGATGGAGTTGAAACAAATGGAAGCTGCCAAATGCCATGCCTGTCAATATTAAGAGTGCTAGGATCAGAATCACAACAGTGCATGCTTTATGCCAGTCAGTCGTCCTTTTCTTCATCGTTGGCACCATTACTGGAAGCGCAGAAACTGTGGAACAATAATCGGAGTTCAGATTACTGCCCACAGTGTAAACCTGGGGGTATCTGAAATCAGGCTCCATGATTAGTCCAAAAATACCAGTCTCCAAAGTGCTGCGTGTCACCTGCGATAGCTGGGCCTTCCTCCTTTTTCAGTTCAGCATCAAACAATTCACTGATGTTCTGTCCCCTGCATATGCAATTGCTGTCTCACTCTGAGTAGGAGTTTCCTCTGCTTATATAAGAAGGCCCAGTCAGTTATGCCCACACATGGTCTTCTTCCTCCTGAAGCATGGAAAGCTGCCACAAAATGTTTCCAGTCAGCTTAGTGGTGAAAGTGTAAATATTCCACCTTGTCCTTTCTTATTTCACTGCTTTACTTTTTGCTTTGCAATCTAATTGAACATGCAATGGATATTGCTAAGGTATTGAGGGCAGTTTATACTTGACTCTGAACACTTTCACTTCAAATTGAAGAACATTAGCTTTGCTGTACTGGTTGCAAGATCGCCCCTCCAAACTTGTTTCCGCTGCTTGGTGTTTCCTGTTACAAACAAAAATGTTTAATTAAGTAGGTGATTTGCAACATTTCCTCTCTCACGTATACAAAATGTGCCAAGGACATGGTACATGACTCAACAGAGACTGGTTAAGGGAAAAAAAGTGTCCAGATTGATTCATATGTGGATCCAACAATTCAAATTGAAAGACAAAAAAGAAATCGATGAGTACATCAAGACTAATAGTTGTTACTTTTTTTTAAACATTATGATAAAGTCAAGCACTTTACCTTTAAAGAGCAGGATTTTCCCCCTCATATTTCTTCATATCCTGGCAGGGCAGATTGAAAAGGTACTATGATTACTCAACAACTCCACTATCATGCAACTAAACAAGTTAGAATACACATGAGAATAATCTTGTCTTGTCATGTTGTAAGTCCTATGTTCCTAAGTAAAGGCAATTGCACTACAAAAATCTCTCCCAATGTCTGGAACAAGTTCATTTCTAAATCCCAAAAACATAAGAAAGGAAGTGCATTGTAAGGAAAGGTGAGAGTTCATCGAGCCAACAGCCTCCTGAGAAATTCTAAGGCACAGCTGCTCAATTCCACAACAACACTTTCCAAATGTGAAAACATTTCCTAATTGCGTTGCTTTTCAGTCCATATGCAGACACCAGGCAGGTTGGAAGACATAAAGGAGGGAAAATTATTACGTTTAAAATTATTCCGGCAGCAAGACACTTTCTTACAGAATAGGACAACAGATCCTTAACATCTGCTTGGTCTTCCTTTCTCAGTATATGGCAATCATAACTGACTACTGACAGATTTTCGATGGTATCACTCACCAAAACCGTGAGGGGAGAGGGTGAGGAGATTTATAAGAATGCTATTAGGGCCTAGTTTTCTGCAGGGATCGGAGAGGTTGGATTTGCAGAAGAGAGGAAGGTAAAAGGAAGTTCAGAAGTGTACAAGCTTATCCGCGAACTTCAAAGAGTAATTAAGAAGAAACTGTTTCCTTTGACTGAAGTAACAAGAGGACACAGACTTAAGGTAATTGGCAAAACAACAAGAGGTGGAATGAAGAGGATTTGTTCTGTGAGCCAGAATGAACTGTTGGAAAGGACAGCGGAAACACTTCTGACCATAACTTTCAAAAGAGGATTGGATAAGTGCTTGAGATGGAACTGCTGTTGACCAGCAAAGGCACCGTGACCATCAAATAAATTGCCTGCCCATGTGATTCGAGGTAATTCCAGGTCGTGCAGTTAAGGAGATAGTTATTCAGGTGATGACGAGACCACCCACATTAGTGTCAATTGCCTTGTTTCGCTTAACCTGTGCTAATATTATGTTTTCCTTCATCAGAGACATGAGGTGAAACTACACAGTGCAGACAAGACAGAACAAGTTTTTCTGAAGTTTACTTTAAGAACGAAGTTACAATGTGAAACTTACAGTTGCTGCAGTGAGTTTCAGTTTCTGTACTCCCGGTACACTTAGAGTTGTTCTGACTCCAATTTTACAGTATGATATTCGGAATAACTAGTGGAACTTACAACATACTTTGAGAATATTTTTCTAATACTATCACCCCGAATGGTACACCAACTGAATTCTGTAAACATTCCTGATCCAGATACTCCACTGTTATTCGATTTGGCCATTATTGGATTGGTTATATTAGCAAACTTTCTATCTTTAGTATGCTGATCATGCACCTCCCACATCCCCACCCTACCCCCCTCCTCCCCAACATTCTCAACTTTCATAATTTCTGTTTCAGCGTTGTTTCACTGCAAAGGTTCTTTATCCTTCAGTGAAATGGTGAACAACCAAATTTAATGTTAATCTCGCTCTTTGTGCACCTTCTCTGCAGCCATAACATTGTATTCCTCATTCTGTTCTATTACCCTAATGTACTTTGTGTCGTATCGTCTACCTGTAACTCGCGCAATACAAAATTTCTCATTGTACCTAGGTATATGTGACAATAATAAATGAAATCAAATCAAACCAAATTCATTGGGTACATATAACCCTAGGAACAGGACTGGGGTGTTCAAAACCTTCAGTCAGTTTCACAACTCAATTACATTCTGACTGATTTGTACGTCAACTCCAGAACCTCCTTAACTCCAAAGCCCTTGGCACCCTTACCCAGCAAAAATATTTACCTCAGTCTTGAAGTCTCAATTTGTCTCAGCAACAATTCCCTTTCAGGGAAATGAAATCCCGATTTCTACAGCACTGTGAGTGAAAAGGATGTTTCTTGACTCCTCTCCCAAATAACCCAGATCTGGATTTCACATTATGCCCCGTCTTTCTCGATGTCTCCACCACAGAAAATAATTTGTCCACCTGATTGAAACTGGTTATTAAGTTATGCCTTGATTGTATCATGCCCCAGATTGATGAGGTTAACAATTATAGTCATGTGCTGAAGCTCAGGCATGGCTAGGAGGGTGAAAATTTCCTGACAAGGTGTCTCCACCACTGTGTTCTGTTCAGGTGCTCCTTATAAACAGCCTCTTTGACCAATGTCTGGTTACCAAATGCAACGTCCGATTCCACAGCACCATGGAAGCTGAGTTTGAGGAAATCAGTGTCTTTCAGAATGGTAGCCTCAGCACTTCTGTCTGTGTCTAGTGTGCCCCTCACAGTGCCAGGTGCTTGGAAGGCTGCTAGTACAGGCATGTCATGGACATGTGCCAGAAGAGCGGGCAATGGGAGACACCAGATAGTTCCATGGGCTGCAGATGTTTGATGTACATTTTGCAAAGTTGGACCGTGCAGGTCACCCTTGACTGACCATGCATTTTAGCTGCTGGAAGGATGCAACTGTTGTACGTGCAGCTAAACCAAGTCAGCACTTCAACATGGGGTAGGTTTTCTGTTAGCTCTTGCAGCTAACATGGTATAGTTTATGGCCCTTCTGACGATGAGTCATACTGGACTTGAAACATTAACCCTGTTTCTCTCTCCACAGATGCTGCCAGATTGGCTGAGTTGCTCCAGCACTTTTTGTTTTTCTTTCAGATTTCCAACTTTCCCAAAATTTTGATTTTATTAGAGTTTATTTCATGTAGGCGACTGGTTATAGGCTACATGGACATGGTAGATATTTATTGAAGAGATTTTGACGAAGACATTGATGTCAGGTCTTACTCCTGTGTTCTGCCACCAAGTTCATCAATATATCCCATTTTTAACCCTTTCAGACCCTTATACAACACTCACTAGCACCAAACAACTGCTAATTAAAGAGGAGCCAAATGTTGCGAGTGCTGGAAATCTGAAATAAAAGCTGAAAGTGCTGGAGAAACTCAGCAGAGACCTGGCAGTATCTGTGGAGAGAGAAACAGAGTTAATGTTTTGGGTCCATTATCATTCTCCTTTCTGACTACAGGAAAAAAAAAGAGTTATAATGGACTCGAAACCTTAATGCTATCCACAGATGCTCCCTTCAGTGTCTTTGTCCTTGTAGCCACTTGGACTTCGGGCAGTCAGCATGACTCTGCCTCACAAGGAGTGGAGCTCCCCTTTGTGCAAGCTGCCTTTAAGAGCTGGGGATTTACTGCAGTTTGTGTTTGCTGTCTACAGTACTGGGTCTCCTGCTGAGCATTCAGCTAACAGGCAGGGTCATGCTCAACTGTGCACCACAATCACGGAACTGAGGAGCCGCACAAAGTCTGCCTCTTGACGGTCTCAGTGGGACTGGAGAGCAGATTAGTCGCAGATCACACAATGGAAACAATTCTGTTTTTACCCCAATATCTTTTTATGTGGCCAAACGTCAAATTTTGCCAATGATGCTTGGAAGGATGCTTGACTACATTAAAGGAACGACATAAAGGCAAGTTGTTGTCAAATTTAAGTCTGCAGGCTTTTTTTAGTAGGAGTGGTGAACAAATATATCTGTTCATCAGACACAGCAGTGCAGACAGATAGCAACTCAGAAACCATTCTGATTACGAGGCAAGGACGTATAAAAATACAGATAAGAAAGCACAGCAGGACATAGGTTGAAAATTAGGTTGGAAAAATAACGATATTGTTTAGAATTATTGTGAGGGAGAAGAGTTAAAAAAAACCTATAAGACACATAAAAGAACTTATAGGTAATATACACTAAAACAGACCTACAGCTTTAATGGTCAGGCACTGATTTAGGAACTGTTTCTGTGCAACTGTGTGTGTGTGTGTATATGTGTTGGGTGACACGTAACAGCAGTGGTCAGGATGTCTCAGGGACGTGTAAGAGCATGCACAGGATCTCAGACAAGGCACAATAGGTCTTGCTGGAGGGGGGACCTCCTGTCCTCACAGGAGAGGGAAAAGTCCTATTGGCCCTCCTGACAACCCTCTCCTCCTTCAAAAAATCTATCCCTGTTGCTCTACCTGGCCTCATCTCCTCCCATTCTTCATCCTGACCCACAGGGACTCTGAGCATGATGCTCATAACCCAGCACTTGCTTGCTCATGGAGACCCTACTGAGGTGTGCAGTAACAGGAGAGAAGGACAGCACCCTACCTTACTTATTTCCAGAATAGATGTTGATAGAAGCCTGGTGAATTCTTGGCAAACTGCTCCAGAAGGTCTCCTGATGCCACTTCAAATCTCCTTTAAAACATCCGTAAGCAAGTGTGTATTTGCAAACAAGGAGGCCATTCAGCCCATCAAGGCTGCTCTGCCATTCAGTAAGATCACAGCTGTTCCAAAGCTGATGTAAGTGAACAGCAAAAGCTAGGCATTGTTTCTAAGACTTGGAATCCTCAATAACAACTTCTTTTGTTCTAATCTGACAAGAGAGCGCATCAGTTCCAATGTGAGCCATCAAAAACAGCATGAATCTTCTCCAATGAGCGCTAGCTGCCAATACAACTGTCCTTTTAAATTTCCCAGCATGGTTCTTCCCATTAGGAGTTCCATCCTTCAAGCAGAATGGTGCCTTGG